TAGATATCTACTTCTTATAGAGAATAATATCACATATCATAAGACTGCTTATTTTCTCAAGAACAAAGATCAGCTACTGAATGTTATTGATTTTTATCTTAAATATCTCTGAAATCTGAGTATAAAAGTTGCATGTGCATATTCTGATAGAGCTGCTGAAATAAGTGATGAATAGATGCAAGCAGTTCTCATCAAATTCAGTGTTAAATTAGAGTTAACAGAGCTCTATACTCTTAATTAAGATAATATTATAGAATGATTTATTTAAACTAGTATCTTAAAAGCTTATACTATAATAGTATAAGCAAGTCTATCAGCTAAGCTATGAGCAGAGGCTGTGTTTACAGTAATACTATATTTTAATAAAGTCTTAACAAGTATCTTCTTACTTTCAGATATAATTTAACTGAAGAACTGAATCTCACTAACTCTCTATAAAATATAAGAAGATAAACTGTTCTCACATAGTAGTAACTTATAAGTGATTGAATTATCTATTTACATTTTCAAAGAAAGTCTCTGAAAAGATTATAACAAGTTCATCAAAAACAGTGAATAAATAATTCTAATTAAATATTACAGTGAGATAATATAAAAGAATATAAAACTCTGTAAAAGAGAAAGTTATTATATTCAGCAGTGTGAAATTCAATGAGAATGTTATATTATTATAGCTAGTAAGCTCAGTACTCAATAATTATAACATAATTAATATATTTTATACACTGACTATAGATATTCTTACTTATAATAGTTATCTCTATATTGATTCATCACTGAACTCTGTATCTCCGCAGAAAGAGTTTTTCTCTGTACAGATATTAATTAAGAATATCTCTCTCTTATTCACTACTACAGTTATAGACTACAAAGTAGAATATTCTTGAAAGAAGATATTATCTGTTATTAAGTTTCAGTTTTATTATATATTTAAAATATACACTGTATGAAGAGGCTCTGATATAGTTGCAGAAATTAAGATTTTATAATTATATAAGAAGATGATTATATCTCTGTAAAAAGATACTTAAGTAGTTATTATAAAGAAAGAGCTTGACTCTGCAGCTAAGTATAAAATTTTCAAGATTATAAATAAGTTAACTATTAAAACTCAGATTCTTGACAGTCACTGAGTTTATTATATTAAAACTAATATAAATAACAGTGTATTATTCTATAAGATAAGATAAATTATTTAGAGTTTCTATTAATAAAAGAGTGTTAATTTTAATAATATGTATATCTCTGTTATCTCTGCTTTTATTATCTATACTATACTTACAGTGACAGTAGTGAAAAGTTGAAATATTTATTAAGTTGATTTTATCACAGTATTTCTGAATATAAGTCTATTATCTAATAAGCAGCTCTATATAAAGTAATTAACTAGATTTAATAATAGTACTAATTATATATATCTGTTTCTACAGTCTCTCTACAGTCTTAAACAGGCTCTCTACTTATGATTCAATCTACTTACAAGTTATCTTAAGAATATTAGCTTTGAATTCTCTTATTATAATAAGAGTCTCTGATTTAAAAGAGATTTTCAGATATTTTTCACTCTCTATATAAATAATATTAAGTTAATAGACTCTGATATAAATATTATTAAATAGATGTTTTATTAAATTACTGATTAATTTACAGTAAAAGATCTGAAATCTATAAACTATTATTTAAATATAAAGATTGAGAAGAATAACAGTGATATTAAGCTATTATAAGTTATCTATATTAAATCAATATTAAAGAAATTTGAAATAACTGATTTCTAAGTTATAAAAACTCTTATAAAAACTGTCTTTAATACACTCTTTAATTCTAAATCTTTTAATAAGTTTAAATATCAGTAAGCTATTAAATTATTTTATTATTTTATTATATATACTTATTCTGATATCTCTTTTATAACTGCTAATCTTATCTATTAGTTAAATAAGTCTATACAAGCATGCTGAGCTGTAGTTAAATAGCTCTTTCACTATATTCATAGTATAACTAATTACTACATTTATTATATTTTCAGAGTAGAAGAGCTTAACTTTGAAGTCTTTATAAATTCTGATTAAGTAGATAATACTTGTAACTATAAATGTATATCTAGACTGACTGTGTGACCGTGTCTGAAATCAAAACCAGAATATTTAATAGTCTTATTATCAATTTAACTGATCTCATTACATAGTTTTAACATTAGATAGTAGTCTCATACTGTCTCAGTGAGACTTACTGTCTACTCTTATTACATTTTTCAAATGAGATTATGATTTTCACTTCTTAATTTAAATTATTTTTATTGCTTTAAATGACTTTAAATCTCATTCAAGCATTATCAAAAAGTGTTACTTTTTAAAAAATTAAAAATAGTCTAAAAAAAACAAAATGTCTAAAAATAGTAACTTTATACTAAGAATGAAACTAAATGAAATTAAATGAAATCACTTTCTTATTTTGTCTAAGTCATGATCTCATTTTGAGATCTGATACATAGTCACTTTGCATGTTTTTTTAATAATTAGTCTCAGTGAGATTTATGTCAAGAAATGTATGAGATCAGATCAAATGAAATCAAATGTGAAATTCATGATTTCAGCAGTCAGTCTATCTATATCAGATCTTCTTATTTATCTTATTAATAAATTAATTATATAAAAATTCTTTAAGCAGATAATTGTAATACTGAGTATTATAGAAGCAGAGTATATATCTATCTCTAAGAGTTTTAAAACTATAATCTGACTGCATAGACTACTTATAAAGCTTGAATTTCTATTCTCTGATTTTACAGTTTCTCTATATATTGATAATAATGAAGTAATTACTGTAGTAAATAGTGAGAAGATCATCTATAATATATATTATATTAATATTAAATGTTGTCATATCTGTAATACAGTAATACTGCAGCTACAGATATTATTAAAATTATATAAATTAATATTATTAGTATAACTGCAGACACTCTAATAAAAGCTCTAATAGCTGAAGTTTATGAAAATGCTTTGATTAATATAGAGATCTGAATATCTATAGTCAGAAAAGCTCTGAAGATGTTCTGACAGATACAGAGTCTTATCAGTCTGTTATTTCTATAGTAGTTTGTTCATTTTACTACTTGTTTATTTTTTTTTATTCTTTAATTCTTGTTAATTCTCTGTGAAATCTTTAATAGAAGACACTACTATTTTTGTATATAATATTCTTTCTCTAGTTATAGAATCACTCTGCTGAGTTGTAAATATCTACTCAGTGAAGTAGTAGTTAAGAAGAGTGTTGAATTTTCTCTATAGACTGATTACTTCTGTCTAAGCAAGATATTCACTGATTGCTTAATAAACATCTATTACATATAAAAAGCCGTATAACAGCTAGATCTTAATAATACAATTAACTACTCTATTATATAATTTTCATTAATTTTGAAAATAAAGTAACTTCATTATATTATAATACTAACAGAATTATAATACTTAGTTAATTTCAATAAATACTTTTAAAATCTCAATAATGAGATTATGAAGAATTTGATATATATAAGACAAACTGTAATCTATTAATTAATTAATATGAAAAAGAAGCTGTTTTTCTTACAAATCTGTAAGACTTTTACAGTGAATAGAGCTTGTTTTTTTTTCTTAATATTTGAATATCTCTATAATACTGTGATAATATATATCAACTGATTTCATATTTTTTAACAGTCTCAGTGTAATTAAAGATCAATTTCATGTTTAAATTATTAATTACTGCTTATATAACTGCTTCATAGTGCATATTATAAGTGTTTGAAGATGAATGAAAAAATGAAGATTGAGCAGATATTAAGTGTAAGTAGACTGATTATATAACTGTGTCTGAAACCAGGATCAGAATATTTAATAGTCTTATTATCAATTTAACTGATTTCATTACACAGTTTTAACATTAGATAGTAGTTTTATACTGTCTCAGTGAGACTTACTATTTACTCTTATCACATTTTTTAAATAAGATTATGATTTTCACTTCTCAATTTAAATTATTTTTATTACTTTAAATGACTTTAAATCTTATTTAAGTATTATTAAAAAGCATTACTTTTTAAAAAATTAAAAATAGTCTAAAAAAAATCTTAAAATGTCTAAAATAGTAACTTTATACTAAGAATGAGACTAAATGAGATCAAATAAGATCACTTTCTTATTTTTCTAGTCATAGTCTCATTTTATATGAGATCTGATATATAGTACTTTTCATGTTTTTTAATAATTAAGTCCAGTGGGATTCACACCAAAGAAATGTATGAGACCAGACCAAATGGGCCAAACGTGAAATTCATGGTCCCGGCGGCCAGTCTAGGTGTAAGCTGGCGTTGGGTAGTTGATCACGTTACAAAGCATTAATAAATGAAAAAGAGAGATATTTAAGATCACTGACTCTCAATCACAAAAAACATGCAGTGTCATAGTGTAGTGTATGTAATATCATTTAATATACTGCTCATACATGCTCTAAGCATATAGAAAATAATTGATAATACAAATTTGTTAATTTTTTTATGGTAATTGAGACTTTGAAGACTTCTCACTGTATGATAGGTGAGAACTGTCCAGCTTGCTTGTGTGTCTGACTCGCTTGTGGATTGCATTACTGTCTCCTTCTATCATTGCTTTAGAAATAATAGTGACTGACAACATCCTAGCTCGATTTACCAATGGCTGATATCCGTTTATGATGCCTTCGCCTGCAAATTGAATATCTCACCTAGCCTGGCACCGCAGATGTCCTTGACTCAGCAATCGCGGACTTCTATGGTAGCATTCTTTCCCGCAAGTATCTATGCGATGGCATCTCAGCTAACATTCTCCTTCCTTGTAGATATAATTCGTCTGTCATTGGGGAATTCGCATGTGAACGGAGATCTTGAACACGAGATGCCATGCGGATATAGAGATTTAATATTATCGGATGGCCTTCTTCATGAAACACAGGCCATGATTCGTGAAATTGAATAACAGCAAGGGCCACTCATTGATGGGAGAAAACAGAAAGCAAATCAACCCGGGCTATTTGCTGTAATTGGGAGGGAATGCTGCGATCACGAACGAAAAACCTTGAAAAGGCCATGGTTGAAACCAGATATACACTCCACGAACTCCACGATCCCATCATCCGCGCCATGGCAAGGCTGGTACAAGGGCGTCATCATTTCCTGCATGATGATCTGTAGCAACAGCACCGAATCAGCACCGCAGAAGCTGGAAGACCGCACATGTCAACCGTCCACACCAGAATCGCGCCAGCAGAGGCACTGCAACCCGTTGTGTTCAGATTGGCCATCGCGGAGAGGAGCAGCATCGGCCCTCGCCGTAGGGTATTTCTTCTCGTTCGATGCGGCTCTCCGTTTCTAGGGCGCCAGATGCCATGGCTCCATTTGTCGCTAGCGCATCTAGGGAACCAGCGGGGTCAACAAGGTGGTGTGGGCTTCTGTACATAACTGAGAACTTTCCGTATATACAACTCCCAAATCTATATTAATCCCCAAGGGGCTCCCCCAATATGCCAATCGCTGTTTTGTACCAGGCAAAGATCCCTTGTCCAACGAACCCGAGTTGTATAATACATACTACAGGTTGAAATAAATAAACGCGGTCTCCGGAGAGCAGCAGAAGTTACTACACCGCATCACGAAGCAACCATGCCGTCAACACCTACAGTTCGCTCCTCCGCAATCGCATTTTTATTCTCCCAGCTCCTCTTGTCGGGACGTATTGGCAACTCCGACTGCATGTCCTAAGATCACTTTCGACCTGTTTAATCAGTTTGATACATATCAGGGATGGAGATACCAGAGCCTTTTCCCTCGACGCACACTCGCCGTATTGTGACTACTATAACTACTATTTTTCAATCTTTCAAGTTCTTCTTTTTTTCGCATTTGCTGGCATCGTCCCGGATTCTTCCAAGGGCTAGGACCTCAACTCAAATGTGAGAGTGGCGAATGGGTTTCCACTAGTCCAGGTATGCTGGCATTAAATTCCCTTTTCTCGCACTGCATTACAAATAACTATGATAGAGCTCATATCCTTCTTCTTTTTCTTCCCTCCATAAATTTGTTACTAATTCGTTGTGTTACTTGTTGCATAGCTGGCTCTGGATCCTCATGCCCAAAAACCGGTATCAAGTCCTTGCCTAAGCTGTAACTGTACAGCGTGCCTCTAAGAGATCTTGATGGAGAAGGCAGGTGAAGGGTGGAATTTCTACCAATGGCATTTTGTATTTATTTGATGGTATACAGTTTCTTGATTAAGCAACTCACCAAAGGTATGGTTTCAACAATGTGATGAGGGGCTAGAAATCATACTCTGAAGTAATGAGAGGGAAGTAATCAAGCAGCCTACGGAATCTACCTAAAAATGTCATCCATTGTTAATGACTCCAAAAAATAATTAGAGATATATATTAAACAACTAAACCAGTTTGCAGAACAAGAACTGAACCAAGAATACATCAGACATCAGCGACTCGGCCAGCCGGTTTATAAGGAATAAATGAAGCGCTGTGTGAAGAGACACCATAATCAGTGAACCATCAACGGTGTAGTTAGAATAAATAGCCCTCCAATGAAGAGTAGCGGAGCTTTTAGGCCAGTGGGAGCCATTGACTGGACAACCACAGCCCCCCCTCCTCCCTTACCCTTACCATCGCTCTTCTTGGGACTCTTGAATTTGAACTTTTTCTTGGACAACGTCTTGCTCTCCGTTAACTCCTTTTCATCCTTCTTCTTGTCTTCGCTCTTCTTTTTTTCGGGTTTGTCTTTAGGTTTTTTGTCTTTAGACTTTTTGCCTAGGAAGATATAAAACGTCAGCTTTGGAATGATACTAATATAGACAGCTTGAAAGGCGAGAAGGAGCTGTGATCTGTGGAGAAGCGGAAATGAAAACTGAAAATAAAAAAGTAAAAGTGCTGTCTAAAATATGTACATATCATAGGGAGCACAAATGCAGTTTATATGAGAAACTGATGTGATACGAAAGACAGCGAATCAAAGGATTAAGGAGCGGAGCATCGTCCAAGCTCATCCGAAGAACTTAGACAGCTAAAAGAGCCCAGTCTATAACTTTTACTAAGCTGAATTACCTTTATCACCACCCTTCTTTACTTTATCAAAGATGTTCTTGAACTTCCCAAAGCCCCGAGCAGAAATATTCGGGAGTGCTTCATCGACCGTAACCTAGATTGTCATCAGCACCAATACGGTGGTACAGGAATATAAAGCTGATAGAGATGATATGTATGCCGTATGTGAACAGTACAAGAGGTGAGAAGAAGTGGACAAACCTCTTGGGTTGTTGGGGACAGATTAGCTTGAGTGGGTGGAGAGATAGACTGCCCTACAGCAGAGGCTGTGAGAAAGGCAAAGAGTACAGGGAGGATCTTCATTTTGACTGTCTGCTGCAAAGAATAGATGAGTCTATGAAATGATTGCCGCTCGACTCTCAGTGGAGAATTAGTTGGTGTTGGCTTCAGCAGGGAGAGAAAAGCGCACAGATAAGATTTTGAAGCCCGAGGGGGAGGGTAGAAAAAATGATGAGAGCAAGACAAAAAATCACAACCATGATGTCCCTTTTTTATAAGGCAGCATGGTTGGAGACTCTAATACTGAACAACCATCCATCTCCTTTGGTTGGCATCATTCGGGTTTCTTCCTGTCAGCGTAGCGGACAAAGAATCCCAACATGAGGATGTCAGATCAAGTTGGGTAAAACCCAACGTGCAACTTGCGGCTCTGCTGGGGGTAAAAGTCTCTCAAACCTGGCTGAATCTGTTCCCACATAGCCTGGTGGAAGAAAAATATAACAATGATAAAAAATAATCACGCATATAGCCTGGTGGAAAGTGGAAAGTCACAACAATGTCAGCCGCAGAACATCTTTGTCTCCCGATTTCTGGGAAGTAAATAGAAGTATGTGAATATTAGTTGGATAACTAGCGACCAGTGGGATGAATCAGCTTGGAAAATACTCCAGAACTTCAGAAGACATACTATCCGCCAAAGTCATGGCATGGTTTGTTCTTCAGAAGACATAATAGTCGAAGCCAGCATGCATGTTAGTTCAGACAAACTTGTAACATAACCAACCACTCAACACCTGCTCAATGTTCATTATTTCATCCATCTTCAAACATTCACAATATGCATCATGAAGCAGTTATACAAGCAGCAATTGATGATTTGAACATACAATTGATTTCTAATACACTGAGACTGCTAAAAAAATGTGAAATCAGTTAATATATATTATCACAGTGTTATTGAGATATTCAAATATCAAGAAAACAAGCTCTACTCTCTATAAAAATCTCATAAATTTGAAAAAGATCAAGATATTAATTCAATTAAAGATTTGATATAATATCTGATTCTGATATTCTGATAAATGATATTATAAACAAATAAAATAAGTTTTATACTATAATATAATTAACTATTTAATACTTATTTTCACTTAATACTTATCTTTATTATTATTATTATTATTATTCTTTGACTATAAATATATACAGTCAGAGACTATAACATTTATCTGAAAACTTTTAATTCTCAGAGTTTTTCTAGTATTTATAAAGTTAATTATTATATATTTATCAATTTCAGATATATAAAATCAGAAAATTCTAGCTTAAAATATAAAAATCTTTTATAAATTACAGTATTTTTAACATTTTCTAATACTTTTGAAATTATTTAGAAAATAACATGATAAAAGAAAAGAAATAAAGTCTTAAAAATAAATATATTAAATAAATAGATAGAAAAGAATAGAAAAGAAAATATAAAAAAAATAATAAGAAAATAAATATATTTAAAAATAATATATAACTGTTTTAACAAATTATATCTAGACTGACTGTGTGACTGTGTCTGAGACTAGAATCAGAATATTTAATAATCTTATTATCAATTTGACTGATCTCATTACACAGTTTTAATATTAGATAGTAGTCTTATACTGTCTCAGTGAGACTTACTGTTTACTCTTATTTCATTTTTCAAATAAGATCATGATTTTCACTTCTCAATTTAAATTATTTTTATTGCTTTAAATGACTTTAAATCTTATTTAAGTGTTATCAAAAAGTGTTACTTTTTAAAAAATTAAAAATAGTCTAAAAAAACCTTAAAATGTCTAAAAATAGTAACTTTATACTAAGAATGAGACTAAATGAGACTAAATGAGATTACTTTCTTATTTTTTCTAAGTTATAATCTCATTTTGAGATCTGATATATAGTTACTTTGTATGTTTTCTTAATGATTAGTCTCAGTAGAATTCATATCAAGAAATGTATAAGATCAGATTAAATAAGATTAAATATGAAATTTATAACTTTAACAGTCAGTCTAATTATATCTGATTAATTTTCATTTTTTCATACTTAAATAATTTTGAATTCAGTTATTTTTTTATAACTGCTTGAGTTTGA